AAAAAAAAATTAGAAACAATACGAAATTTCAATGAAGTAATACAAATTAAACAATGGTTGTTGTGTTGCATAATGTTACCTTCAAATTCGTTGTTTAGGTTACCAGATATAAACCTGTGAAATTGGGGGAAAAAAGTTAGAAGACAAAGAAGAAAAAAATTAAAAATAAAAAAAATAAGCATTAACTTCTCCTTTCAGTAGATTAGCAGAAATCAGCAGTACAATTATCTAACCTATGCGGTATGTATACATGAATATATCTTTTTCCCTTCTTTCCTTTGTCCTTTTCCTCATCCCAGTTTTTCTTTCCCACTGAACAGATTCTTTCCCTTTCACAGTAGCTATTGTAGAGCTGGGGAGATAGCTCAGTAGCTTAAGTGACTCAGTAGCCTAAGTGTTTTTGTACCAGGGATTGAACTCAGTAGCTGAGTTCAATCCCTGGTACAAAAACAAACAAACAAACAAACAAAGTAGCTATTGCATCTTTCATATTTTATTTTCTCTTTCAGGTTCTCCCACTAGCTAGACAATATGACATTTGCACATGCATGTCTGATTTATTTCGCTTCCTAATATTTGCATCCATTTACCAATAAAATCTTCAAATTTATCTTTTTTATAGCTGAGAAATGCTCCATTGTATAAAAATGCCACGTCTTTTTTATTCATTCCTTAGTTGATGGGCATCTGAGTTGTTTCCAAGATTTAGCTATGACAAATTGTGCTGCTACAAACATGGATGCACGTGTATCACTATGATATGATGTTTTCAGTTATTTTGGAAAAATACCTAGACAGAGAATAGCTGGGTTGAATGGGACCTCCAATCCTAGCTTTTTGAGGAATCTCCGCACTGATTTCCATCGTGGTTGTACCACCTGCACTCCCCCAACAGTGGAGCAGGCTTCCTTTTTCCCCACACCCCCTCCAGCATGTGTTATTGGTCACCTCTTGATGATAGCTACCCTTCTGGCATAAGATGGTGTCTCAACGTTGTTGTAATTTGCATCTCTTGAATGACCAGTGATGCTGAACATGTTTTTCCTTTGGCAGTGCAGGAGATTGAACTCAGGACCTTGTGCTTGCCCGGCAGGCACTTATGCCAGTGAGGCATCTTCCCTAGCACACATCTTTTTCTTACATTTATTTGTCATTTGTATTTCTTCATTTGGGAAGTGTATATTCATCTCAGATGTCCATTTTTGGATTGGGTCTTTCAACTTTGAGGGCCTGATTTTCAAAACATTTTTTTTGTTTTTGTATTTTAGGGAATGGTCTACAGGGTGTTCAGGCTCTCACTACTAGATCAGACTCATAATGATCTGCCTGTTTACAGCCTCCCAAGAGCTGGGATTACAGGCATGTGCCACCATGCCCAGCCTCGACTGCTGCCCAGTCTCAATTGCTGTCTCAGTGCTGGGGGATCACATCCCCGGCCCCTGCGCCTGCTTGCAGGCACTTTAATCTGCTGAGTTATTTGGCTATTTGGCTGGCCCTTGATTTTTAAAAAATTCTTTATATGCTCTAGATACAAGTCCTTTGTCTGAGGACAGCTATAATTTTGTTCCAATTCATGGGTTTTCGCTTTACTCTGTTGGTGATTTCTTTTGATATGCAGTAACTTTTCAAAAAGATCAGATCCCAGGGGCCGGGGAGATGGCTCAGTAGAATAAGTGCTTCCCTGGCAAGCACAAAGGCCTGAGTTCAATCCCTGGTTCTGCCAAAAAAAAGAAAAAAAGAAAGAAAAGAAAAGAAAAAAGAGGGCTGGTGAGATGGCTCAGTGGTCTAAAGCACCTCCTTAGAACAAGCTAAACTCAGCATACAGGGACCCCGGTTCAATCCCCCAGCACCACATGCCAGCCAGCCCCGCCCCCTGGTGGGCTGAGCTGGCCACACACACACACACACACACTAAATAAAAATGTTAAAAAAAAATTTAAAAAAAGAAAAAAGAAAAGATAAGACCCCAATTGTTGATTCTATGAAGTATTTCCCATGCGGCTTGGTTTTTCTTCATAAACTCTCTACCTATCCCTATATCCTTAGGATTTCCTCTGACTTTCTCCTCCAGAAGATTTAGTGTTTCTGTTTTTTGTTGTTGTTTTGTTTTTTGTCCTTTTGAACAGGGTCTCACTATGAAGTTCAGGCTGGCCTTGAACTCACTGTGTAGCCCAGGCTGGTCTCAAACTCACACTGATCTCCTGCCTCGGCTTCCTGGTGTTTGGATTACAGGAATGTGGTACCATGCCCAACCCTAGTCTTTCAGGCTTTTTGTTGCTGTTGTGTTTTTCTGGTTTTTGGTACCGGGGATCCAACTCAGTCAGGACCTTGTGCTCTCCAGGCAGGTACTTACAGTATTTCCCTGGCCCCAGTTTTACTTTTTATATCTTGATCCATTTTTACTGTAGTTTTGTGCATATGGTTTGGCAGTTTTTCTGTAACCATTTGTTAAAGAGCCTATCTTTCTTCCAATGAACATGTTTGGCCTTTTTGTCAAAGATAAGGTGGCTGAATGTGTTTGTAGTTCTGTCTACATCTTCTAATCTGTTCCATTAATCCTCAGGTTTTCTTTTTTGGTTTTTAATTTGGCAGAAGCAGAACCGGGGATTGAACTCGGGTCCTTGCACCTGCCAGGCAAGCGCTTATTCTCCTGAGCTATCTCCCCGGCCCCATCACAGTAGCTTTAAAGCATAATTTCAAGTCAGGGCTTGTGATGCCTCTGCCTTTCCTTTGATGCTCAGGATTATTTTTACTATTCTAGGTCCTTTCTGTTTCCAGATGAATGTTAGGAATGTTTTCTCTAGATCTGTGAGGTACGCTTATGATATTTTAATTGGGATTGCATTGAATCTGTGTCACAATTTTGGGAGTGTGGCCATTTTCACAACGTTGACTCTTCCTGTCCAGAAGCAAGGAACATCTTTCCATTTTCTGAAATCCTCCCCAATCTCTTTTTTCAGCATACTATAGTTTTCATTGTAAAAATCTTTTACTTCCTTTGTGAGATTGATTTCTAAGTGTTTCATTTTGGGGGGGATATTACTGTGCACGGCATGGTTTCCCTAATTTCTCTCTCAGTGCATTCTTTGTTCATGTGTAGAAATGCTGTGTTGACTTTGTACCCTGCTGTGCTATCAAATTTGGTTATTCAATTTACAAGTCTCTGAGTGGAATTTTTGGGGTCTTCTATGTCAAGTATCATGTCATCTGCAAATAAG